TCAACGCTTACTGGTCGAGCGTATCTTGAACCACCGTGACGATTCAGGATCAAGGACGAGATACCTTTTCCAGTGGCGAGGGTATTAACCCTCTTGAAACAGCTGGGAGCGGGGCTCCCAGCTGATGTTGGATGTGCCCGGTCTCGTCGAGAACTGCGACGAGGCACATCCGACGGTGGAGGGACATCGTCGTACGAACGCCCGCCGCGTTCGTAAAGGGGTTGTAGATTTTCAATCCCTTGACGCATCTCGGACGAGATGCGCGCCATCCAGTAGGGTTGATTAGGGAGGTACTCCCCACTAGGGGTGCGAACTTAGTTGTCAACACAACTCAAACAATTTTCTCTTCACAAGAAGCAATGTAAACCTGCCTCTCGAGACAATCAGTGCAATTTGTACCGAGAACAGGTATGAGACTTCAGCTCAAACTTGTTGCGAGTAACTTCGAGTTTGTCCAGCCAAACCTTGCAGCCAACATTCAAAATGTCGCCGATGAACGAATTCCACGCCTGCACCAAAGAGAGCTCGTCTCTCTTTCGGCTGCCGCGGTACCATCGATGTATAAAGAAGACATCGATGTAGAAGTCATGCTCAGTGCGATAATGGTTCGCACTGGGGTCAAGATCATGGATCCTTGGCGAGTCAAAGATTAGGATTCGACAACTCCCAGTGGTAAACCCATACCACCCTTTCAGCTTGCTCACGGAAGGCATCCATGGCTTGTTTTCAGGAGCAGATCGTAACGCCTCACGATCCTGCTACTCTTGCGTGGTGCCAACGTAAGCACTGGCACCACGATCGCCGCAATACCTCGTATTACTGCGTCTATGGCTGCGGTGACTCCGCGAAGAGTCATCGGCATCGTCATGAAGGCTTACGTCCTCATGTTGCGCACTCGCCTCGTATGAACACGAGCGGGATCGGTTCGATCCCGGTGACAAGTTCCCGAAATCGTCGGATGAACCGAACATCTCTACCGCAATTCAGGATCGAGACTGCCGCCAGGTGCAGCAGTCTTTATTTCCACAACCGTACGGTCGGGCTTTGCGGACGACTTGGAGTCGAACGGGGGATTCGACTCACTCGAATAGATTACCTCTAAATCGGGTTCGACGTCCATGGGACTTCCACCCGCGGCCAAAGCTGCGGGTGAAGAAGCTGCACGTAAATGACCACGTGCGACTGCAACTATGGGTGAAGCAGGTTGCTTATTAGCAGCAGCAGGCGCATTATCGCCTGCTGGCGAGTATTGAGTGGCATGCCCTCCGGCTAAAGGGATGCGTGCAGCCGCTTCGTTCGCAGCCTTGCTCGCGGAGCGCATGTGCCGACTCGTCATGCGCTTTAAAGTCGAAATGAGAAGGGAAAGACCAACAAGTGCTCCCCGGCTTCAGAGCGACACGACGGTGGTCTCTCTGTCACCAATGAATCAATCACTCACTATAGAAACTAATGGTTGAGGGAGGGGTGATATAACGGGGTGAGCCCGTTACAGAAAAATTGGTGCAAAGTACCAATTTTGGATATCATCTATTTTAATAATATTCAATCAACGTCGCTCGAGAAAAGCGATGTCGTCGGAATATCACCTCTAAGGGTAATATCCGTGCAGGGGTCCACTTCTTGGATGATGTACCGTGTACATCAACCAATTTAACCACCAATCGCTGCTGGACGCGCGCAATGGGTGGTGGACAGAAGACCCATATAGGAGACAGTAGTTTGATATATTTAGATTAAGACGAAAGATGATTTAGCAAGAAACATAAATATAATATATAACAGTTCTACTTTTTCCTCAAGACAGAGCTTTCGGGTTCTGTATTGTCTTGGTCGCGCTTCCTCACGCCACGTGTACGTGACGTCGGGCGTACGCACCCTTGTTATTAATACAAGGCCTTGCTCAGTCATCTGAGCAAGAGCGTGCCCCGTTACAGTCATCATCTTCATTAATCCAAGGTATCTTCTTCAGCGTCTTCTCCGCTGTCATCACCAAGCTTATGTAGCTACCTGCAAAAATTGGTATCGCGTGTTGCTCTGATCCGGCAGTCGAGCTGATTTTGAATTTAAAAGAATGGCAGTCCCGGTCTCGGCCTTGTTTTGTTTTAAGCGAGTGCGTGAGCGACCGTGAACGCGCTTGGCCGCCTTGTGATTGCGCTTGCCTCCGCTTGCTCCGGCCGGGTTCTTGTGCAAAGCATAGAGAGGACTATTTATGCATCCGTAGCACGAGTCGGCACATAACGTCCACAAGTCCGACGATTTAAACTTGATATTATTGAAGTCGTCCTCATATGTTCCTTTTTGGCGCATAACAAAAGTGGCCGATTTGCTCAACATTCATCGACGCATGTTCTCACCCCTATTTGAAAGACGGGTGATTGCCGCTTTTTACTGCTAGTTGAGCGAGGCTCTTTAAGATTGCAGAAATTCTTCTTTAAACTTTGCTGCGATTGAGAATCGCATCTTGTAAATAATCGATCGGTTACAAGTGTAAGACCATGGGCTTCCAAAAATTGGTCTCGAAGCGCTGGTAAAAAAGTGATCAATTGGTCTATTTTCATTTTCATTTAAAAGAGAAGCGTCCATTACGGTGCGATTTAGCGTTTTTACGTGGCACCTGATCGCCACGAAGCACGCATGAACGGCTACAAATATTGCCTCGGATCCCTCCAGTCACGTCAGATAGGATATAATCATCACAATAAGATTGTCTATTGCATAAACATCCTTCCAATACACTGGGTCTGTCATCAAAGCTTTGATCTCGTTGCTTATCTCGATGTCGACATCGGCGTTTAGAATCTCACATGTCAGAGTGGCACACGCAGTCTTAGCTGTACTATCACGCTGCGTGGATTAAAATACTGTGCTTCATCGGGTCTTCGGACAAAGAATTAGCACGTACGTCTTGTCATATCTCTCCATACAGAGCTTGTCGAACAATTGCTGAAGAAGATGAGACGATTTGATATTCTTTACTATAAACAAAATCTGCTTCAAAACGTGCCTACTCCATCAAAATTCTTTAAAAGAGCCATGCAGAGCTTATGAATTGCATGAGGCGCACAACCGTAAGCGAATGCATACTCCTTCGTCTTCAAGCAATCTCTGCGCAGATTGACCATTACACTCGGAGAATCGCTGCAAAAGCCAAATTATTGGGGGTGAATATTGCTTTTGGTCTTGGTGCATTTCCGTGTTTGTTCTGACTGGTTCATCACATCTACGCCGAATTCATTGTTTATTCCATAAAAGTTTGATAGCAAGAAACCAGGGGCCGGCTTGCAAATAGAACCGAGAAGCCGCAGCTTGCAGGAAAGCAGTTTCTCAAGCAAGTCATCTGCGCTTTCTCTGCGCAGCTCCATCGTGAAATGCTCAAGGAAAAGTGGCTTAGGTCCGCAAGCCATCATGTTAATGACTTTTTTCCCTTCACATTTGTGGCACCGTCTAGTGAAAATCCAATGAGCGAAAAATTGCCGAGTTCGAGCATAACATCGTTCATATCTCTCCATGTTCTGCTCTTAAAGCTTGTCTCCATCTGCGGCTCTATATGGAAGATTTAAAGATCCGCTCAGCTCCTGAAAAAACGTTGCCCATTCCAGGTGCTCGAAAGCAACGAAAGGCATGGCCGTCCGATGAACAGCGCGGGCGAACAGCTGGTGCAGCTTCCTCATTTCGCCTTTCGTCATCATTCTAGATGCTGACGTCCGCCGGTAAAAAACAGTGAAGCATTCTGTGGCTCGAGCACAGTCCCCACACTGCCGCCAGCATCCGCCGACAAAAGCATCGCCGACGATAACTTTGGCGCCGACTTTGCCGACTTTGCCGACTTTCGTGACGGTTGAAATTCTCATCGAGCTGGCCTATGGAGCGGGGACGCTTTTTGCAGTTAGCCCAACGATCGTGCATGCGTCCAACTGCCGCAACCACGGCATCATCGCACGCCGAGCACTTGCAGTAACTCGAATTCGCGTCGCCCGGCTTTTAAGACATTCCAAATATAATCCAAGTACCATCTTTTGTCTTACCCATGTATACACTCAACTCAAAGAGTTCTTCTTGGCTGGTCTTTTGATCCTCTCCGAATTGGTTAGAGTAAGGGGGCTGTTGTTGGACTTCGTACAATTCGATCAACCCTTTATGTCGCCAAGAAGAAGACGAGACACCGTTCGACTTTCTCTTTCTTAAGGAAAACAAGGTGGCGAATAGATTCAGGGTGAAATTATATTATACCACTGCACAATGTACGACTTTTACGACAGTGTGATACCGTAGTATGATACCGCGGGTATTATACCGCAATTTATACTTACACACCCATAATCTGGAGTTAATTACAGTTACAACGGCTCGCCCGACCGCATACCATGATCCCTCCAAACCACAACATTGTGTAAACTAGACCTTTACACCTCTCTTAAATTCAGGGACTCGTCAAAAATCGGCTATAATTAGACTTGCAAGTCACTAAAACCGGTTCGGTACCGGTCTTACCCGACTAGAGCCTGCCCGTTGCCAAACCTACATTTTGTATCACGACTGGGAGTGACACACTGACCTGTCATTTTTGAATTCCCCCGAAAAGTAACTTACCGCGGCTGTATTCAAGCGTTCACCAGGATGTTTATGCTCAAGAAGAAGAAACCGCAGGTGGACAGTATCAAGCTGATGAAGGTGATGGCGTGGGACCTTTCCAAGATTGCGCTTGTCTTCGTCGGTATCCGCGCTGCTTCTGTCTTTCTAAACCAGGAGAGCTAAGAGGGTGTGCAGAGGAACGAACGATGAGAGCGTAAGGTCTGGACGCTGCTTTTCCTCTGGCCGACTGTTGTGACCTCACGTTCAAGCCAAAGGCGACGATAAAGATAAACACGGTCATACTTAATTCAAGTGATAGGCGTAAGTTATCTTTCACACGTAAAGACTGACGACTGGTGGGTGGTCTGGTGATCCGATAACAAAGGAAACGTTGGGGCTCCAAGTGTATTATCATCCATCCATACTTGCTACTCGTCTTCTTCCTCATCTTCTCCAACCCGTTCTTCGTCGGCCAACGTAAATGACTCTAATGCAATATTGCACTTCTCTTCCAGCACACCGAGAGCCTCAAGCAACAGCTCTTCAGGCTTGATCATGCCCACAGACTCGATGCTGAAGATAAAGTGGTCGCTTTGACGTCCAAGACGAATTTTTTCGTTCCATCTGGGCTCGCTGATACAATTCCGGCACATTGTGCACGAGCGCTGGTCCTTCACCACGGCGTTCGGAACACCACTGAGGTCTTCAATATCAAAAACTCCCACTTGGCACTCACCCACTAAACGCTTCGCATCAATACCCTCCACCTTCTCCAGTAGCTCAACCTGCGGCATCAAGCGGTACGAAGCGGTGGCCACGGGTGAGAATTTTGCATGGTCCTTGCCCACACCCTTGCGGCAATGAGCCTCTAGTGCGATGCTTTGACCTGGACGTAGCTTTGCGATCAGTATGTCCTCGCTCACGGGCCGGATCAACCCAAAGCGCTCTTCTTGGTTTCCCTGCGGAACCCACTCAAGGTCACGCGAGTACACTACACAAAAAAGCGAGCATGTAGACCCGTTAGCTCTAGTATCACGCATGGAAATTGCAAGTGCCACAACAAAGGACCTATATACACACCGGAAGAGCATAAGGCTTTCGTTGGATCCTTCGGATGATCAGGATCAAATTTACACGTGACATCAAGCTTGAAGACAATTGTGTTTTCGTCCGTAGCTTCAGCCTCTTCGTTAGCTGAAAAGGCTTGAAATTCGCGTGGATCCACGTTGAGCGGTACAAGGCCAAGTCGATGGGCTAACACTTCGTCCTGTATGATCGACGAGTTGTTCCAGATATATACGTGCTCAATGGCCATAGTTGGTACCTCGGCCAGTAGGATACGACGCAACGCGTTGGCGATGGCGGCGTCGACGCCAATCAGGTCGAACACGATCTCGTCATCGGACAAGCTCTGGATGTTGACTTTCACCTGGCGCTTGAATTGTTCCGGAAAGCTGTAGCTGGTTTCGCTTTCCACATCAGGCTACTCGTAGGCAGTGCAAGCAATCAGGAAGGGATGAAAACTGTGAGTGCTACAGATGATATATAGCTTACCTGGTGCGGTGCGTCTTGGCCAACGTGGATAAATTTTTTAGACTTGCCCATGTTCAATCCAGCGGGCAATTGCCGGTGTGCGGCGAGACAGGTGCTCGGGCTGAGACTACGATGCGAGTGAAACGACACAAACGGTCACCAACCATTTGTCGTCAAGTCCTCTCAAATATGATACAGGCAAAAGCTCAATTTTAGAGCAGTGCCGATTTGGCGTTTGGTCCCTTTTTTGCGGGTTCATTTCCCCCCGCGCCCTTCAGGCATCACTGTCGCGCTCCTTGGAGCCCACACATAAACAGCTGAACCATCAAAAACAATCAGACCCAGGCATCCAAGTATCGTGTGCACTGTCTCTTTTGTCCGGTGTCATCTACTAACTTGCTCAAGGAACAAGGGCAACTACGTCATGGCTCATTCTGCCATGAACAAGTAGCAACCTGTAGCTGAAAAGTGTATGAACTCTGCCTTCTTGTACTACCACTAGGCGTACGACATGCGCCATCCGCAGCCCCACGATCTTACTTGGTGTACGTAATTTTACGGGTCTTAAGTGGCGCCCATTTCAGGCGCTTGTAGTAGCCAGTTAAACCGCACAGTGCCGCCAGGACAATCGTTGCCTGCATACCTTGCTTCTTCCGCACATCATGCTCGGGCTCGGCAGCCCAAGCAAGAAAAACCGACACGTCCTTAGCCATCTGCGAGGTCGTGCATGGCGTGCCATCTTCGTACTCGATCTGGCCGTCCTGCAACTGGCGCTCCATGGCAATCGCACCACCGCCGAAGTACGGGTTGTAGTGCAGGCCATCCAGCAGCTCCATTCCCTCAGGCGGGTCGACATAACCCGTCAGAAGCGCGAACAGGTAGTCAGCACCGGCATGACGAGCCTTAACCATCAGCGAGAGATCAGGCGGTATAGCGCCATTATTAGCAGCAGCAGCAGCCTCGTCATTAGGGTACGGCCGCGGAAGCGGGTCCGACAGCTTGCCTGGTCGCTCAAACATCTCGCCCACGTCGTTCGGGCCGTCCATAACGTCCGTGTCAGCCGCAATGGCCTTCAGTTCGTCTTCAGTGTGAGTCACGCCCACCAAGTTGCGGAAGCAAATGCGGTCCAGACTGTGGCATGACGCGCAAACCTCACGGTAAACCTGATACCCACGACGCACGCTAGCGTAGTCGAACGAGGACAGTGGGCCCTGGTAGTCGAATCCGTAGTGCAGTGCTTCAATCTGATCACTGCTGAGAGCCGTCGTACCTGTCAGCACCGATCCGCCCAACAGCGTTCCAGCACCCACCTGTAGCAAACGAAAGTGAACGGATTGGACGCATAAAACTAGTTAAGCGACTGGCAGCATATAGCACGGGTTTCCTAGTACATGTTGCCGACCTTGGCAGCACGTTGCAGCAACTTGGCGCGGTTAAACATAGAGGGCAGATAGCGCTTCGTTGCTTGGTCTCTCTCTATGTGCGTGTGAAGCAGCGAAGGTCCCCTCAGCCGCACATCGATTGACACGTCGCCTCTCCTAAATTGGCTTGAACATAGTATAGACATACGGGGTCATATATCGTGTGTGGGCAACACCATTGTTCTGATCAAAGGATGAGGCGGATCCACAGAATTGGTACAGCGAGTGACTCCCGATTCTTTCCAACGAACAAAATGGTAAGGAGTACGCCGAGTCCTACACGGCTGCGTACGATCAGAGATAGATGGTCGATCGTAAGCAACGTCTAACATACGCAAACGTGTTTCTCTCTAGTCGGCTCTGTTTAGCCTCCAGGGACTACTCACTGTCATCTTGCTCTTCATCTGTACCTGCACATACATCAAGATGAAGTTTCCTACGCTCTTTGACCGGGGACAGCTGCCAGGAAAGCACGAGGGTCTTGGTGGGCTTTGTTGGAAGGCTTCGCGCATCGGAGAGCGTAAAAGCCAGTATGTTGCTGGCGCCCTCGCTCTCATGGCTGTTCACACGCTGTTCCTTTCCTAGATCGGTGAGTGAGCTGCAACTCAGTACGACAACCTGTTGTGTGACTGCCAAGCAGCCTCATTCAAGCTCCAAGCGACATCGGGTTTACCTTTATTTTTGTGATAAGTCGCTAGAGCAGTAGAACATGCTTTGAATATCGTGTGTTCACTTGAAGCCAAGAGCCTGGCAGTTTGTGTACGTATATGGCTTGCTAGCACTTGCTGTGCCCAACAAACATGGGTCCGGATCAAAAAGAGAGATCACTATCAAGTCGGAGAAAGAGCGAGTTTCATTTCCAGTTGTCCTATTGCAAAACAAAGTACATGATACCATCACCTCCTCAAACACGGTTACGGGACGCTGAAGCAGTAGCGCACTCCTCGACTACCCCCGTCAGGCTTCTCTCGGCACCGTCGGGTTAGCGCGTTGGTCATCCTGTCTCAGTTGCAGCGCTTCTCACGAGAACCGATCTTGAAGTCAAAGCAATCACATAGCCAAGAGTCTCAGCCGACACTTGAGAACTTAGTTCTTCTTGGGAGCGGCACCTCCACTCGTGCCCATGCCCATCACCGTCTTGAACGTGTCGTAGATCCACCACTGAGCACCGGTCAGCGTACCGATCATAATGATACGCGTGCCCAGGCCCTTTGTAGCCAGGTTGACGAGGCCAGTTTCGCTGGCGATCTGACCAAACCCTTTTCCTTTGTTCTCGGCCTTACCCATGAGGGACACAACCGAGTCGGCCGGGTGCGACACAATGGCACAAATGACACCAGCCAGATAGCCCGAGGCAAAAGTCACACCGAGTTGCGTGCTCTTGGGGTACGTGCTCTTGGGCTCCGTAAACACGTACGTGTAAAAGGCCTCGACCACCTTTTCGAAAAAAAAGAATTTGGCCATCGTGTACGGGATCTGACGGGACCACAGGGGCACAAGCGAGCCGAAGGGGAAGCGGGTCTCGGCTGAGTTGGCCTTCATCGCGGCCACAGCGGCGCCAAACTCAACAGGGAATGTGCCGGCCGGCGAGGTCTGCACCTTCACCTTGACCATCTCCATAGGGCAGAGGGCCATATCGGCAAAGAACTCTGCCGAGGCGGAACCAGCCAGGTAAATGGCTCCACGATACTTGTAGGCGTTTTCCTCTCCAGCCATTGTGCTGTACGTGTCCTTGAAGAACTCATAAAAGCCAAACTTGCACAAACCCTGGGCCGAGTAGCCGATGGCAGTGGGGACCCAGCCCTTGAACAAAGCGCCTGCGCCCTCTTCCGAGGCGATGGTCTTGAGGCCCGGAAGCAGACCGCTGAACTTGGTCGGGTTGACTTGCATGTTGCACTTGACTACATCAAGCGGGGTGATGCCCGTGTGCGTGAGGCCACACGAAAGGACACCGCCGATCATGCATTTGCCGTAGTAGGCGTTGTCGTGGATAGGGTCGTGCGAAAGACGAGCATCCCACTTCGAGGCAGAGGTGGCCAGTACCGAGGCTGAGCGGACAGTAGGGGCAGCAGCTGATGGTGCGGCGGGGTGTAAGCTCGCGATGATGGGAAAGAAAGCGCTCATGGTCGAAGGGACGTGCGAAGTCGACGGCTGGTTGGCGAATGACGAGTTGTGGAATATTTCATAGGCTCTGGATTGAACGGCTGTCAAGTCAAGTGATGCTGAAGTAAGCAGTAAGTGGCAGATGTTGAAACCGTAGGAGAGTTTTACGGATAACGGAATCTGATCTATACTTATGGAAATATGGCCAAACCTACTCTATGCGACCAAGTCACTTAACCGAAATAGAAAATTATAGACCGTAAACACGAGGATACCTATTGCGAACGTCGTCATCGCTTCGGTGGTCACGCAAGCCGATCCAATAGGCCGTGCAAGTGAATAGTAAAGGGTCAAACAGCCAATCAGGTGCCATCCCACAATGACCACGCAAGTCAATCAAACGGGCCGCCTCCGAGCGGTCTGTAAGGTTATAAAGAAAGGTACACGTCTCGTGCTACAACAGCATTGCTGGACATTCCCGACAGCGTTTTATATTCACCAGCGCTTCGATCAATGTTGCCAGAACGAAGAGCGACACGTCTTTCTCTTGTTCCATGTCAACACGGCTACTTAACGAACAAAGTGATGCAAAATGCATACGATATACGATAAATTTTGTCGAGCAACAGTAATCTAATGGAAAAATGAATAGGGCGGGTTCGATCACATCAAAACTCGTCTTTGAGTTACAGCTGGTGGGCCGTCCAATCGTAATTCTTGGCGACAACTTTTCGTATTACATGTTAAGAAATTGTTGTATTCTGCAACGAAATAGCCCGTTACATAAAAGTTACCATTGTGCGAAATGGCAATAAAGAATATTACGTTGAATTTTATTTTAACAATATCACGAAGCACAGTAATATTGTTGGGATGGCCGAAGGCTCTACTCATTGGTTGATATTGCGACTATATCAACCCACCAATCGCTGCTAGACGCGCGCAATGGGTGGTGAGTAGTCGTCGTAATACATGGTTTGGTATTAATATTGTTGAGACCAGGCAAGAAGTTAGAGACCTATAAGACTTACTATATTAATACAGTTTTACTTGTCCTCTGTACAAAACTAAGTTGTTTAGCGCCTAGTCTTCCTCTGAGCGCGTACGGTGTACGTACGTTAACATGGAACTTACTACGCACTGCTGTCAGTGCGTAGTCCCAGTGCCCCGTTACACCTGGCAGCACTTTGTAGTCCGTTTAGCGATCACAATTGTCTCATCCAACATTAACACGTTGGTTGATAAAGAAAGCTTACACACCACGCGTGAAGACTTTGGTCATTTGGGTGACACCAAATGGAGTGCAGTACAACAAATGATTTCTCCCGTTAGCGAAACCTGAATAAGCGCCATGTTGGAGTCTCTTGACCAAGATTAAAAACATGCTGCTATAGCCAAGTTCACTCAAATTGAACTTGTCACCGAAAGAGAGGAAGTAGCCTTGCCTTAACCAGTCAGGCTCTCTACAGGCCGAGAGGTTGAGAAACCTCGGTGCTCAATAGACAGAGCTGTCGAGACAGCAGCAATACAATGCTGCTGCGAGCGGGACGACACACACACGTCGTCCCGAAACCTTGAAGGTTGATGTCTCCAAGTACAGAGGAGTCGAGGAAGCTTCCCTGTTGTTATGGTCCGTCGAACGAGACAGAGCGATAAAGGCACGTCGTATTGACGATGAGCAAATGAAACTCACATTTGCTCAAATTCACTTGGTATGACGTGCCAAGACTTGGGCCTTGGGGCTCGAGATGAGCGACCCATTTTCATTTGAGTCGCTGGAAGACCTTGAGATTCGGCTCAACAAGATGTTTGAACCGCCACGGGCTGAGTTCAGGGCTCGATCAGAGCTTCTGAAACTCAAGCAGGGTAAGTGTGATGTGAGCGCTTATGCTCAGCACATATGACTCCTTGCGAGTAATATAACTGCTAACCCAGTACATGAACACACTTTTATTACTGTGTTCATGCAAGGGCTCGCAGATGGGCCCGTCAGAAACCACCTGTTCCGCTTAGAGTTGAATACGCTTGAACAAGCAATCTCAGCTGCAGAACAGGAGGACTTTAGCATGAGACAGGATCTTGCTAGCCCGAGCTTTTATCACCCATACGACGACAGGAGACTGGAGGTCCAGAACCAATGGACCTCTGTTACGTTGAGAGCGAGGTACCTCGCTCTTCGTTTAACAGGCGATTGCAGAAGTACAATCGCTTTTAGAATCTAGATTACTACGCCTATGACTGTAGTGCCCCACGCCCGGATCCAAATACGCACTGAGTGAAGCGACCGACTGTTTGCCAGAAAGGGCAACGGACGCAGGTCCGACACTGTTGCGAAATCGCAACAGCAAAACGGACCATCAAAAATGGCCGGGGTCAGTATGGGCGGAGCACCCTACTGATACAGCAACCTTATGGGAATTTGCAAATGTCTTGACAAACGTTTCTCCCGACACACATATACTGAATGTCTCTGCTCTGGTGATGAGGTGTCCTTCATCACCTCGACGTTAGAAGTGACAAAGGACTTGTCACTTCGTGCTTTATTTGACTGTGGGGCGTCGAACAATTTTGTTCGTCGTCAGTCACTAGAGGGTCGTAGGCTAAAGTTTGTTGAGCGCGACATCTCCCTAACGAGGATGACGGTGCGTCTAGCCACGGGCGCATCGATAGACGTTGATAAATGTGTAGTAGGCATTCGCCACATGTTAGAGAGAAAACAGTGCGATGATGACTTCATCGTACTGGATCTGGGTGACAAATTCGCAGTCATCCTGGGATTACCTTGGATCAGACGCTACGTGCCAAGCGTGAGCTGGCAGCATCGATACATGAAGACGCCTGCCGCTTGTTCGTCGGATGGACATCTGATGAACGTTTTGGAGCATCCACAAGCGTGTAAATGTACTGCTAGTGAGTGCGATGACCTCATTTGCGGTACGGCAGTTGATACGACTGCACAAGACTTCATTGTAGCTGATCACTAAATATTAGAGCAATTCCCCGGCGGCTGTACAGAAGTACGGGCAGCGCCGAGGGTCCAATACTCGAATAAGTCAAGTGTTCCGGGACATGGATGCATGCCTAGTTTGGCAACATCTAAGGTTGAGCAAACCGATTTCCCAGAAATGGCAACACGGGTATCCTAAACCGGCTGGAAAGTTGACCGTATATGACCTGGCTCTGGTAGTGCAACCACAGTCAGAAGACGACGGGGAAGTAAGTCCCCGCGTACTTGAGGAAGAAGTTTCTCAAGCGGTAATTGCAGAGAGAACAAGCTATCATCAACCTGAGTGGACAATCCGCAGCAGCCTGTAGACCAAGTTCCCAGTAATAAACCGATACATTGAACGTCTTACTCGATGACGGATCAAGCGCAGGCGCTGATACGCTTTATCGTATTGCACTATCGAATTTAAGATCGGAGATCACTTAATTGCCAACGTTAGAGCCGAAACGGTTCTTACGTGATCTGCGCAGTGAAAAATTGAAGCAGATCTGTGTAATCGTCGCCGATGAAGAGTACGTCACCGATATTTGGTCGGCAAAAGTATTTGGTGAGAACAAACGGGTTCTTAGCAGTTCATCGATAGACAAAATTGCCCTCGATTAGAACGACTCGGATTGAACGATACACGTCTCAAATCTGGGAGTCTCTTCAGGCAACTCCTTTGTATAAGGATTTGATCGAAGTCAAGGATGTATTCCCTGAATCCGTCCATTACGAGTTGCCAAATGATAAAGACACTCGACACGAGATCGAGCTCAAACCGGACTCAAATTACTGTTTCGTGAAGTAGTGGTCACTGCCTCGTGAACAAGTACTAGTAATCGACAAGCTCTTTGCCTATTGCTTGGCTGCGGGACATATGAGGGAATCAACTTCCCCTCACAGGTCGCCGACATTCTGTGTGCGAAGGGCGACAGGAGGGTGGCGGATTGTGCACGCTTTCAACAAGTTAAATGCTGCAACAATACCGGCGTCTGAGCCGATACCGAGAAAGGACGTTATCATAGATCGTATGTCAAAGAGTACCATCTTCTCGTCCATGGATATGATGGATGGATTCGATCAAATACTCATGCGTGAACGGGACATACCGTACACAGATGTGAGTACCCCCCAGCGGTATGCTGTGGGAGTGTCTAGTGATACCACAGGGGCTGAGTAACGGCCCTGTAGCGCTCAACCGATGTGTCAAAAATCTGTTGAGACCGGTGCGTGATTTCGCACCGAGTTATTTTGACGACGTGTTCGTCTATAGCCCGGCTATGGACCGGAAGACAGACGTTGAAGTTTACAGAACTGACGTTCGTCAGGTTCTTCAACTCATGCGCAACCATAAGTTGTACGTCAACCTCAAGAAGTTTATATTCGCGGCTAGCGAAATACCACTTCTTGGGTGCATCGTGGGTAAACACGGTGTAATCCCTGGTCCCGAAAAGATCAAGGCGATCACCGACTGGCCAGTCCCAGTCGATGTCAAGGGACTAAGGAAGTTCCTTGGTCTTGTGGCGTACTTGCACAAGTACTCGCGCAACTACGCCGAGATGACTGTTCATCTTTCTTGCTTGCTCAAGAAAAATGTCAAGTGGTCATGGAACGCTGACTGCCATCGTTCCTTTGAAAGTATCAAGCAGAGCTTGATGCAATCGCCGATACTCGAGATTGCAGATCAGGACAGACCTTTTCATGTGGTCTGTGACGCCAGCGATTTTGCTATCGGCTGTACGTTGATGCAGTATATCACAGACAGCGCAGAGCGCGTCGTCTGTTCTCGATCGCGTCAGCTGCAACCAGCTGAACGCAAGTACCCAGTGTATGACAAGGACACTCCTTGCCATGAAGTACACACTGGCTAAGTTCCGCGTCTATCTCCTCGGAGATAGACCGTTCATTGTCTATATGGACCATGCGTCACTGCGCACGGCCGTAAACAGTCCTCACCTCTCGCAAAGAATGGCGAGGTGACTGTCTTTCTTCGCGGAGTACAACTTCTCCGTGAAGTACAAACCAGGACGAG